GGCCCCACGCTACCCGGAGCACCTGCTGCTGCCCCTGTTGCCCGAGCTGGGCTACGAGGGAGCCCTGCTGCACCCCTACTCCTACCGCAAGGTGAGGGCCGGGGGCTGTGCCGCGCACAGACGCACAGCTCCGGACCGGGGCGGGGGGACACGGGACGCGGGTCTCGGGGCTGTTTGCTGGGGGGGGGGGGCCCGGGTATGGGTGGTGCCCGGGTGACCCACGGACCTGCTCTCGGGTAGCCCCCGGCCTGAAGGCAGTTGCATTGGCACCCTCAAGGGTCCCTGTTGGGCCAGCCCCCCCGCAAACAAGGGGCTTTGTGGCACCAGCGTCTGTGCATGGACGCACGCGTGTGTTTCTGTGCGCGTATGGATGCGTGTGTGAATGCACACGCATGCGCGTGCTCGTCGAGGTGCCTGTGGGGGGGCCCTGGGGACTCTGCTGGGCCCTCCGCACCACGCTGACCCCGTGCTTGGCTTGCAGTTCGGCTACCAGGACACCCCGCGCCCACTGGGCCCCTTCCCGGGCGACACGGCCGGCCGCAGCCCCGAGGCCCCCGCGCTGCTGGGCAGAGCCCCTGGCCCGGTACCCCCTGCTGTCTTTGGGGCCAGCCCTGTGCCGTCCTACGGGGCGCCGGCGGGGCCGGAGGGGGGGCCTCTCTTCCAGGACCTGGGCATGCTCTACCTGTCCAGAGAGATGGGTGCCCGGCCGGGCCCTGCCGGCGCCAGAGCCCAGCGTGAGCCGGGGCACCCCCAGGACGGCAGAGACCGTGCTTTGGAGAAGCATCTGGCACCGGACCCCCGCAAGCCCCCCACGGAGCCAGGTAGGCACTGGGACCGCCCTTTCCCCACGGCCCCGGGCTGGACTGCTCCCCCTTTGCGCCCACGCCCCCTTGCGGGGGGTCCCGTCCGCCCTCGCCCCCCATGCTCTGGGCCTGGGGCCAGCCCCGGCACTGACCCTGTCTCCCAGCAGACGCGGCCCTGCAGAAGGTGCTGGTCAGCTACGGCCTGGGGCTGCAGGACCTGACCCCCGAGCAGGTCAGCACCCTCTCCGCCCTGCTGCAGCTGATCCAGAGCTCGGGTGAGTGGGGGGTGGGCACAGGGCTGGGGGGAGAGCGGGTGTCCGAGTCCCGGCGGGTCTGCCGGTCTTGGGGGTGGGAGGTGTTGCCCCTTCCTGGGACTAGCCCCCCCTTGCTGCCCCTCAGTCCAGACAGAGCCAACACGGGGGGGCCTTTCTCCCCTGGCAGGCGGCTTTGGCCCCACGGCCCTGGACACGAAGCGGGTGAGTCCGTGCTGGGCCGTGCCCTGGTCTGGTGCCCCAGGACAAGTGGGGGGCGGCGGGGGGGATGCCCAGGAGCACCTCCCACCTCCCTCGGGCCGTGCGGGGGGGCCCTGCAGCTGGGGGGCAGTGGGGCTGGGGGCTGCCGGGGCCTTGCTCGAGCTGTCGGCAGGGTCGGCACCGGGTCAGGACCCGCAAGCCCTGGGGACGAGCGGTGGCGGCTGTGGCCGATCGTGCCCTGGTGACCCACGTCCTGGCTCAGGTGACGGAAGGGGAGATGCAGCACGGGGGGGAGCCGGAACCGCCGGCCTCCACCCCGCCGCCCCCCGAGACCGCGGCCTCCCCTGCCCCGGGGCTGCCCACGGTGCCAGGCCATGCCCTGCCCTCGCCGCACCCTGGCCTACTGGAGAAAAAGAGCTACGGGGATGTGCCAGGGCGCACTGGGGCCGGGGCCCCGATTCTGACCCGGCCCCCCGAGGAGTACGGCTACATCGTCACCGACCAGAAGTGAGTGCCAGGCTGGGGGCACGCACAGGGGGCACCCTGCCTGCTGGGGGGGCACCCACAGCACTCACCCCTGGGGTTTGTCCCGGGCACAGAGACACACGCGTGCATCCCCTTGCACGCATACAGGCACCTGTGCATACCCTGTGTGCCTTGCACACGTGCCCATGTATACCCTCTGTACGTTGCACGTGTGCCCGCACCCCCCTTCATCAGCACATAGACCTGTGCATACCTTATGTGCGTTATACACATGCCCATGCTCCCCCCTGCGTGCACACACGTGCCTGTGCACACCCTGCGTGCACTCCATGTGCATGCACACACATGTACACTGTCTATAAACACAAGTGTCTGTTCAGCGGCTGAGCCAGGGCTGCACTGGGCACGTGCGTATGGCCAGTCTCCTGGCCCAGTTGCCACGTGAGTGTGGGGCTCCTGGCCCCCGCTCCCCGTCCTTGCCGCACACAGCAGGGCGCTCTGCTCTGCTCTGCTCTGCTCTGCTCTACGGAGCCAGCACCTGCCTTGGGGCTGCTCTGCCTTCCTGCCCCCCCGGGGGAAGGGGCTGTGAGCCCCCCACCCCGAGCCCATCACTGCCCCGCAGGCCCCTGAGCTTGGCTGACGGCATCCGGCTGCTGGAGGTCCTGGCGGAGCGTGTCCACCTCTCCACTGCCAGCTTCATCAACATCAGGTGAGGGGCCCACGGCCGCCATCATGGGGGGGGGGGGGGGTCCAGCCTGGCCCTGGCCCCCCCATCGCCATGGTAACTGTTGCTACGCCCCACCCCAGCATCGTGGGCCCCGCGCTCACCTTCCGGCTGCGGCAGAACCCCCAGAACCTGTCGCTGGCCGACGTCGCCGACCGGGCCGGTGAGTCTCGGGGCAGGTGGGCAATGGGGGGTCTGCCCACCCCCGTGGTGCTGGGGCAGGCAGAGGGAAATGGGGGGCCTTCACTGCCTTGCTCCCAGGATCAGGGCCGCTGTCCCAGCGCCCAGCCCCCTGCGGGGTTCTCAGCACCCC